ATGCACTTTTAACGCATCGATAAACAAAATGTTATCTGGGACCATTAAAGAAATGTTAATAATTTATTAAATTTATTTAATAAATTAATTAATATTTAAAAATTAAGTCCAAATATAATGAATAACTAAAGCCAGTATTCAGTGGAGAATTTTGGAGAAAATCCACTGTTTTTAGGCGACTTGAGTTCAGTATAAAAGACCTAACCTTTAATCTCTCATCAGTTAATTCAACATCATGTTAAAACCTTACACTATCGGATTACCTGTACAGGGATTAGCGAATAGACTAGGTTAGATCTGTTCACTCAGGCCATATTGAGTCCAAGTCCGTTTGAAACAGTATCTCTGTTCCACTGAATATTGGCTTAATGAATAACTTATTATTATAATTAACTAGAAAAGCGTATGTCTCGATTAACTTCAGTTTAAATCTTAAAATACTAGTGTTTTTTTTATAATTAAAATGTTTTTAATATAAAACTCTAATTTGGGGATTTTAAACATCTTGGACATCTATGCTCTAGACGAAATAAAAATGTTATTAATTATATATGTTATGTAAGAATTGAAAATGTTATAAATATTATATTATTAATCCTATACATTAAAATAATCCGATCTAATGACATTTGCTAATATTTTAATTCCAAATAAATTATATGATTACATTAAATTATATAGAAATATAATATGTATGTGAACATACATTTCAACATAAAAATTATGTGTAATTTAATTTGAATTTTCATATTTATGAAAATCGTAATTATCTATAAAATTATTTTTTTATTAATATTTTATGTATAAAATTCTACGAAAATGCATCTATTTAAGTGATTTAAGTAAAATTAGACTGTACATTTAATTTGACATGTGTAGATTGTAGCTAAAATTATTAATAAAAATGTGTCACTCAAAATTTGGTTTTAATTTCAAGGTAACTCATGATAATAATAGTAGTAATTCATGATAAAGTATCAATGTAAATTTTATTTTTATACAACGTATAAAAGTCGAAGGAATATTCAAATTACTCCCATTAATAATTTACAAGTTATTTAAACTATTAACTAATTTTAATTAAGAAAATGAATACATTTATAGTCCTCGTGTTGGTGCCAATTGTTTTGGCATTACCTTACCAGGGTATAATTTATTTGTTAAATATAATATGAATATATTGTTTATTATAATGGAATTCATATAATTTTTAAAATTTCAAATCAACCAGAAACCAGTGACCAAGGTCAGATAACCAAACGTGCTAGCAACAATTGGCTGGAGAATCCTGGTTCCGAGAAAGGTATTGAAATGAAAATAGTATTTATTATAATGGAATTCATATAATTTGAAATTTCAAATCAACCAGAAACTAGTGACCAAGGTCAGATTGCAAAACGTGCTAGCAACAATTGGCTGGAGAATCCTGGTTCCGAGAAAGGTATTGAAATGAAAATATTATTTATTATAATGGAACTCATATAATTTTTAAAATTTCAAATCAACTAGAAACCAGTGACCAAGGTCAGATTGCAAAACGTTAGCTTTTGCACAAACCCCATTGCATAAAAGGTATAACCTGATATATTCTTTAAATAACTAATTTAATATTTTCAAAATTATTTTTTTTAATTTAATATTTTTTACTTCTTAAATTAATTATAATATAATAATTTTATATTTAAAAGTTAATTTTTTGAATTTTAAATAAATTATCTATTTTACGAGCATTATTTAAATTGCGTTTTTATTTATATAAAATTAAAAAATAAATTTTGATTAATTCTAAATAGTTAAAAGATCCGTAAATTTCAGTTTGTTATTATTGTAATCATACGCGTAATATAACTTTTTAAATATTTTCATTAAAATTCCTGATATTTCAGCAATACAGTATTTTGTGTAAATTTGTTATATTTTAGATTTTCAAGCACTTCTTATAATAGAGACATTAAATTATTAACAAAAAATGTAATACAACATTTAACTAAATATACGTTATTTATGAATATAAATTCATTAAAATTATTAGGTTATAAAGTGTTTAAATTAGATAAAAATGTCCTTGATATATTTTAGATTATAATTATCAGAATGTTTATTTCAATTACAATTTCAGTGGGACTCACCGAAAAGGCCTAAACCCGAAAATGTCTAAATTTGAACAACTAACTGACCAATGGTCATGTGACTGAATTTAGTGTAGGAAAGGTTAGGTTAATTCAAGACACGTCTAGTCCACTCACTAAATTAAACATATATCCACAGGTCAGTTAGATATATGAGTTTAAGCCGAGTGCGGGTCTATTGACCTAAAAACCAATTGACCTAAACTTAAATAAC